GAGGTGATGCCCAACGGCGCAGTGATCGCGGGCTGCTCCTGCGCTACCCGAGTCGTCAAACTCCTCACCCTCTGCGTGCTCCGGACCATCTCGGTGGAGACGCCCGTGTGCAGGCCGCTCAACCTTGTCGACGACATCAAAGTCCACGCCATCGGGGGCCTGCAGGTGGTGGTCCGGCAGTCCTGGCTGCCAACACAGTCATCGCTGAGATGGACCGCTTGGGCCTGCCGCTCAATTGGGGCAAGACCTGCTGCCTCTCCTCCACTGCGGAGCTGGCCGAGGCCCTGCTGGCTGATCCGGATTGGCCGTTCGACGCCAGTTTTTTCGTTTCGACTCACCGCGATTTGGGCGGTGATGCGACAGACGGCCGCCGCAGGCACGTGCCTACGCGGGCCTCTCGTCTCGCTGCTGCTAGCGCCGCGGCAGGCAGGCTCCAGAAAACTGGTCGGGGGAGGGCGGCGGGCTGGGTTTACAGGGCGGGGCCTGCCGCCAAGGCGACGTGGGGAGCCCACATCATGGGTCTCGGAAATTCGGCCCTTCGCGCCCTTCGAGTCTCAGCGGCCCGTTCTTTTGGACCCTTGCAGCCTGGGTCGTCACTGGGGCTTACGCTGCTCCTCAGTGGGGGGCCCCAGAAGGACCCGCTGTCCTATGTCACTGTGGCGGCGGTCAAGACTTTTGTTTCTGTCTGGTGGAATAAGTCTGTCTCGAAGGCTGTGTTGGCCTCTGCGTTTCAGGATGCCGTGCGAGTGTCGGCCAAGGTGAAACGTTGGAGTGCCGCCAGCCAGCCAGTGGCGGCGTTTGTGCTCTCTTTGGCAAGGATTGGATGGCGTCTCGATTTTGAAATCGAATCGCTGATTGATTGTTTTGCGAGGTCTTGGGACCTGTCGACCTTCTCGCCCTCCTTTTTCGAGTTGCGCGTTCGTGAAGCTGTCGCCGATGCCATCGTGGCTGACGAGCAGGCACGTCAGTCCCACTTCGGAAGCGAATGGGTTGGACCGATGTGCCTCAGGCCAGCCCTGGACTTGTTGTCGTGCGATTCGGCTTCGTGGACGGCTCACTGCCGCAACTGCCTGAAAGGTCTTGTGGCCAACAGGTACTGGTGCCAGCAGCGCTTCGAAGAGCGCTGCCAGGACATCTCGGATTTGTGTCTTTTGTGCAGCGAGAGCCCTGGGACGCTGTTTCATCACCGATTCAGGTGCCTTGCGCACGCCGCGTGGCGTAGGGACTGCATGGGCCCTGACCTGGGGGCTGCTGCAGTCGTCGTTTCAACTTTAGCCCCGCGGGCCCAGGAACTTTTTGCTCGTGGGGTACTGCCTGACCCGACGTGCTGGTTCAGAACCCCGCCCGGCCTTCCAGAGGACACCGTCTACAGGTTCAATTGGCCTGCGGAGGGGCTGATTTTGGAGGTGGGGTCCCACGTGTTCACTGACGGCTCAGCTTTCGAGCCCCTACTGCCCCGGATTCGGGCTTCGGGATGGGCGGTGGTTGTGACGGACGGGTGGGGGAAGGTCTTTCGTGCGATCTGGGGGCGGGTGCCCCGCAGCGTTGCCCCAGACCAGGTTGCTCGTGATGGCGAGGATTTCGCCATTGTCTCACTCGTCCGCCACGCTCTGGTGTCGCCTGGAATCAACCTTCACATCGATTGTTCTGGTACGGCCGATCTGGTCCGCGATCCGTCCCCTGCAGTGTGCCCAGATAATCCTCGGTCGCACCTGTGGCAGCATGTGCACGATAAGCTGGACGGAGTCCTGGTTCATAAGGGGCCTGCTCATTGTTCGGAGCGCGACGTGCTGGAAGGAAAACTGAGCCGCCTCCAGCTGCTAGGCAACCGTGCCGCGGACTCGTATGCGAAAAAAGGTGCTGAGCTAGGTAGGCTCGCCCCCGAGGACCTCCTTGTGATTGAGGGTTGCCATGAGATGGCCCGCCTTGTTTCCAGATTCGCTGCCGAGCAGGAGGCTCGGATCGGAAATTCGAAGGTGTTTGACCACGTTAGCCTAGATTGGCTCAAGCATGTGGACCTCGACCTTGATCCTGCTCTCCCTCCTCTTCCTCCTTGTGGTGGGGACGGGCGGGGCAGTGCGGGCGGGACTGGGGAGGATCATGAAGCGGTCCCTCTTGGGCCCCGGCAGGCGGCGACCCAGTCGGAGACCGCCCCTGCTGCCGCTGTCTTGTGGCCGGAGCTGGCCCCTTGGCCCGCCCGGAACCATTCGGTTCTGGAGGCCGCAGTCTTCGACTCGAATGGGTCGGCCGCTGGCTCGATCGCTCGTCTCCTCCTCCTTCTCCTCCTCCTCCTCCTTCTCCTCCTCCCTCTCCTCCTGCTCCTCCTCCTCCTCCTCCTCCTCCTTCTCCTGCTCCTCCTCCTCCTCCTCCTCCTCCTTTCTCTCGTCCTCCTCCTCCTCCTCCTCCTCCTCCTCCTCCTCCTCCTCTATCCTCTCCTCCTCCTCCTCCTCCCTCTCCTCCCTCCTCCTCCTCTCCTCCTCCTCCTCCTCCTCCTCCTCCTCCCTCTCTTGCTCCTCCTCCTCCCCCCCTTCTCCACCTCCTCCTCCTCCTCGTCCTCCCTCTCCTGCTCCTCCTCCTCCTCCTCCCTCTCTTGCTCCTCTTCCTCCTCCTCCTCCTGCATCTGCCCCCTCCTCTCCTCCTTCTCCCCTCTTCTCCCCCTCCTCCTCCTCCCTCCTCCTGCTCCTCCTCCTCCTGCTCCTCCTCCTCTCTTCCTCCTCCTCCTCCTCCTCCTCCTCCTCCTCCTCCTCCTCCTCCCCGCCCCTCCCTCTCTTTTCCCTCTCCCCGCCCCTCCCTCTCCTTTCCCTCTCCTCGCCTTGGCCCTGACCCGCGTCCTGGTCATGGCTCCAGCCTCGGTCCTGGCTCTGGCTCCGGCTGGCTCCGTGTTCTGGCCGACCGATTGACCTATGCATGAGAATGGCTCTGAGATCTCACCGCTTGCCTTGCCGCGATCGTCGTCTGTAGGTGTCCTCCGACAGCGGGATGGTGTGGGCAAGACAGTCGGGTGGGTCGGAGCGGGGGGTGGGCGGATCATGGCCTGGGGCACGTGTGCGGACGAGCGGGGGCGAGCGGACGAGCTGAGAGAAAGAGAGGGTGGCGTGAAACCCGGGAGATCTCATGGCCCTGGCCAGGAGATCTTCACACCCCTGGTCCTCACCTCGGGGGTGGACAGAACCCTCTCGTGAGAACGACCCAGGACCAGACATGGCGGGCTCAAGCCCGCAGAAAATAGCGGCCGCAGCGCCCCGTCGAGAACCGAGATGGGGCGATTCGCTCATCGACTTGGCAATGTGAGGATTCTATCAATCTCCGGCCCACCCCCTCTAGTCGGGACGATCGACAAGGGTACGGAAAGAATGGGCACTATGCCCAACAACAGTTTCTGTTCATTTTGGAACAGGACTCGCTGTCCGCGCCGCCGCGGGCGTTGTTCTTTGGAGACAAAATGCCGCCTGCCCAACAGCGGCCGCTGTCGGTTTTGGACAACATGTGTAGTTGGGCATCGTGCCCATTTTTTCCGTACCCATCTCGAGCGTCAAAATCTTCGACCCCCCGATACAATCGGGGAGACGTAAGACTCGGGTACGGGGGACTCGGGTTAGCCTGACGGGCCCATCGTGAAAATGACGAGACCCAATCTGAAATCTGACGCGAGCTCCCGCTGCAGACATCCCACGCAAACTGGACCGTCAAAATCCAGGGCGGGCTCGTCAACCAGCGAAGGCGAACCCGAATTCCGGCGTACTCGAGTCCTACGTTTTCCCGAGACAGGATACACATAGCCTGCTCCGGAAGCCCTGGCTTCCCCCCCCAATCACTGCCGCCCTGTCTCGGCTACACGCAGGAGTGACCCTGGGCAAGAATGACCTTTGGTGTGCGGCCTGACGGGGGGCCCCTTGGGGACACCGCCAGTCGCGCAAGCCGCTGCTGTCGCAGCGCCTTCAGCGATCGGGGAGCCCCAGAGGGCCCACACCAAAGTGAAGGGGCCCCAGGACACACAAATAAATACACACAAGTAAAAATATTCCCCATATTTTCCCATATTTTCTGGGTTTCTGTCTTCCCCCCCCACTTCCCATATTTTCCTATATTTTCTGGGGAATCGACAGTTCATTGTGCCTGTGTGTTTTTTTCCCTCCTGACAAAGGTCACTCCGGCGAAGGGTCACCCTCACGTGTAGCCTTAGGTCGAGCCTGTCCCCCCTACAGGCGGATGTTGGAGGAACAATAAAAAAACAGCCAGACAATATTCAAGCATGCTCAAAAATGATCAAAAATCGCCCCCATCGTATTTCTGGACTATTTTTGAACATTTCTCCTGTAGAGGGACACGCCCGACTTGACCTTACGTGTAGCCGATTCTTGGGGGATCGACCTTCACTCCCGTCGGCTCGTGCCGACCTGCCGGAGCGGCAGCAAGAGCAGCCCTCGAGTCTTCCTTCCGCCGGCTCCCGCCGGCCTTCCGCCCACTCCGCCGAAGAAGGGGATCAAACCTGAGGTCGGGCATGTCCCCCTACAGGCGGATTTTGGACGGAAAAAAAGCAGTCCCCCAAAAACTCAAAAATAGTCCAAACAAATTGTAGAAACATCGTCCCCTGACTATTTTTTTGACCATTTTTGAATATTTCTCCTGTAGAGGGACACGCCCGACTTAAATCAAACCCTTGGCTCCCTCGAGGGCGAAGCAGAAGTCTGGAGCTCCCTGCATGATACACCAGAGAGAAGGGACTGATGAGAGGACACAAGGGTAGACAAACGCGTTCCACTACTCGCAAAATAGCTGCTCGCAAACGGCCTGGATCCACCGCATCGAGGCAAACAGACTCCATCGCATCGTGGCAACACATTGCTTTTCACGTTTGCGAGTAGGCACTTTGCGAGTAAGTAGTGGGAAGCACTCGGTGAAAGGGACACTGGACACAAGGCACCGGCGCGGCGCAAACTTACCGCGACTGTGAAAGTGAAAGATGCCGGCGAGTTCAACGGCAGACCGAAAGGCGGCGCCTCCTGGAATTTCGCTGCGACCGCCTCCAATTCGGCCAACGCGTCCATGCTGAAGGAAGCTCCGGCTGTTACCATCACGACCTCGGTCGACCCGTTCGACTGGCACTCGGTCCCGTTTGTGTCGGTCCCATTTGTGCCATTCGCTGTCGCGTTGGTCCCGTTTGTCGCATTGACACAATGGTCGGTCCCGTTCGTCACGTAGGTCGTCGTGGCCGTGGCATTGGACTCCTCCTCCGCAATCTGGATCGTGAGCGCCAGGCTGGAGGGATGTTTTTCTTTGCCAGCACGGCTCTGCCATCCAGAACTCCAAGAGTAGGCACAGCAAGCTGACGCCAACCGTTTTGAACATCTCTCGCGGAAGTCCCAGGACACGCAATTCAGCATGCAGCCATGAAGTGAGGGATATAAGTTCTGGTCTATGCCATCTGAGGAGCGAAGGTCATACTGTCCCTTCATGCTTGGATAGTTCATTCTGCAAGATATTGGCAGAAGGCTTCACAAAAAAACTGCAAAACCGCTTGCTGACAATACTGAGATGCCCATCCACTCGACCGGTCGACAGAGGCTTCCAAGAAAAGCACGCGCTCCCACACGCCAGAGACTTTGCGACTACGGGCTTTCAATTCTACATTGCCTGGTGTACGACACAAGAATCCCCAGCCACGCGTACGACCATGTGAGCAACAAACGACAATGTGCAACGACAGCATCCCGCAAAAAGAAGCGATCCCAGAGGCTGCGGCGGTCTCGTTCCCGTCAGCGGTGCCGTTCGAGATGCTGGAACTGTTCGCGGCTGTGAGCCGACGGAGCCGACGGGCTCCGGTCTGCACCGAGACAATCTTGATGCGGGAGGGATCGATCTCGGAGGCAGCTTTTCAAGTGCAACGGCTGGGAGCATGCACGGCCAGGCAGCGCCAGCAATCCCATCTCCTGTGCGGCCAGTGTCGTCCTTGCCTCGGCGCCCCCGGGGGTCCTGTAGCGCTCGCACGTGAAAGAACAGTCTCTCCGTGCAAGCCCTGAAGGTAAGGTATAGCGGAGCCCATCCACAAGAAACCTTCCACAAGAGACCCAACCGTGAGACCCCAGGACGTCCATTGATTTTTGGTGCTGGAACGGCACGCTTTCCATAGCAAAGCCATCGAAACCCAAGACGCCCAGGGCACCCTGGCGGCAAGCAGGGTGCTTCTTGGCATGGGTTTCCACTGTAAGGCGTTCCGAGGCTCTCCTGAATCGACAGCCTGTGACCTGGCAGGTCTCCAACGCTCGAGGCATTATCAGACAGGGTGTCCACGGTTCGCCATTCCTCGAAGCACTTATCTGGCAATCGAGGGCATGCTCATCCACTATGCAAGCGCCCAAATTTGAATAGCAATGGGAACGGGACAGGATGGAACAATGCATGACATCTGTACTGTCTCGTGTTTCTTAAGGCCTTCTTCGACCAGACTGATGCAGGCGGGAATCAAGAACAATGTTAGCATCACATGGCCCCGCCACATCAGAGACTTTCAAAGACCTTTCTGAGTCCACAGCGCCCAATGAAGAGAACTGTGCGAAGCAAGGCGGGTATCTTCACAGCAGCTGCGGTCCCTGCTCTTCCCCTCCTCCCTCCCCTCCTTCCTACTCCAGCCCTGTTTCAAAATCGGTCTCGCTCATCCCAGGCCCGCTCCTCCACTGCTCCTCCCTCTCGGCCCCTGCTCTTCCCCTTCATCCCTCCTCTCCTACTTCAGCCCTGTTTCGACATTAGTCTCGCTCATCCCACGCCCGTTCCTCCACTGTTCCTCCCTCTCGGCCCCTTCGGAAGTTGCGCGCGAAGATCCTACATGGTTCGCCGCGAACAAGACACAGATCCAGGCGGTCTCTCGAATTTGCGAGTGCTGCATGCACTTGAGGTGTCCTCAAGAACCCCCGATTGGCACCTCCTGGGAACGTGGCTTCAACTACGTTGCCGCCGTGGATGGCCACACCCCGGCACCATGCATACACTCCTTCTCCCTCCTGGGGAAACCGATACCGATACCGCTACTCCCCGGACCTCTCCCGAGGTGCGGTCTGAGTAGCACTTCGAGGCGAACCCAGGGGCGGCGACGAGGACCTCCCAGGAGGCCCGAAAAAGGCGAAAACGATCGGGATCCTCTGACCCGGGTCAATCCAGACCCCGGTCAGTCAGGCTTTGCAGGATCCTGCGCCCAAGCCCGGGCCAATGCGACCCTGGCCATGCAGGATCCTGCAAGATGCGGCGCTCTGGCTGACCCCCGTTTGCATTGACCCTCGTCTCTTGAGCCCCGAAAGGGGGCCAGGGCAGCGGCACTGCCCTTTCCTCCTCCGATCCCTCTTCCTCCGCTCCCCAAACCGCCCCCGCGTCCTGGAGAAGCGTCGCCAAGTTGTCGATGAAGCTGGCGCCGTCGAACTCCTCTCGAAAGCTGGGCGAGGGCTGGCAAATCCGTGGCTGCTAAAACGGTCCTCCCAAAAGAAAACAACAAATATATCCCGAATGAAGCTCAGTGCACCAAATCAAAACGGGCTGCGCCCCGGAAGAAAAGAACAATTTCCCGGAGCTCCGTTTTAGAAGCCACGGGTTTGCCAGCCTTCACCTGGCTGCTGATCCTCCGCGGAGACGGAGACGGTGAGGGACAGCTGCACGACCTGGCGCAGCCGCGGTCGGTACACGTGCGTCTCTCGTGTGCGCCGCTGCGCCTGCCGCCCTGTGGTGCGTGGCCTGGTGGGGTTCCTGCGCTCGCGCAGGCCGCTGCCACTGTGGAGGCCTCCTCCTAGACCTCTTCTCCTATTCCTCCTCCACTCCCTCCTCCTCCTCCTCCTCCTCCTCCTCCTCCCCCTCCTCCTCCTCCTCCTCCTCCTCCTCCACCTCTATCTCCTCCTCCACCTCCTCCACCTCCTCCTCGTCTTCTCCTCCTACTCCTCCTCCACCTCCTCCTCCTCCACCTCCTCCACCTCCTCTTCCTCCATCTCCTCCTCCTCCTCCTCCTGCTCCTCCTCCTCCCTCTCTTTTTACTCCTCCTCCTCCTCCACCTCCTCCTCCTCCTCCACCTCCTACTCATCCTCTCCTCTTACTCCTCCTCCACCTCCTCCTCCTCCTCCTCCTCCTCCACGTCCTTCTCCTCCTTCTCCTCCTCCACCTCCACCTCCTCCTCCGCCTCCTCCTCCTCCTCCTCCTACTCCACCTCCTCCTGTCCTTAGTCCTGTTCCTCCACCTCCTCCTCCTGCTGAGCTCTTGCCTTGGGTCTCCCAGATCGGGTCCGAGTAGATGGTGTCGGAGGATCTCGCCGCATCGCCGATGCATCGCCGATGCATCGCCGATGAATCGGCGATGCGTCCGTGACGTCAGCGATGCATCGGCGACGTCGGCGTGGAGAAAGTCGGTCTCCACGTCCAGCCGCACCGCCAGTGCATCGGGGATGTGCGCGATCCTCCGACCCCATCTACTCGGACCCACTTCGGAGGCCTGGACACTGACGCCAGCAAACTGTCACAGCACAGTAGGCACACGACACATGAAACCACCTTGCGATGATACGTCTGGGGGCGCATTTGCTGTCGACCCTCTGGCTTCCTGACGTGTCCCACGCTTACTATGGGTCCCCCGAGGCCGCTGGGGGTTCAGACAGTCCCGTGGGGCACTTGCTGGCAGGCCTGTCTCTTACTTGACGTGCCTACTGCACCCCACCAGCAGAAGGCTGAACACACAAAGCAGCAGAGCGACTCGCGTGGTGCCCGAGGGTGCGATCGCCCCTCCGAGGCTTCCCGCCGGCGCTCCCGTGCGGACGCTGTGGCGCAGCGACGGCGGGAGCCGGCGAGCATCGGGCGGAGCTGGGCCTCTGGAGTTGCAGCGGGGGGGGATGGCCGCGGGGCGTGGTCGCAGAAAGACCGACCCCTACGCATTCAAGGGCTCCCAACTTCGCGCTTCGCCCTGCGCGACGCGCGAAGCGCAAATAACTTCGCGCTCTCGCGCTGCCTCCCAGGGAAGAAGAGGAGGATGAGGAGGAATCGGAGCAGAAGCGCGAAGCGCGAGTAACTTTGCGCCCTCGAGGGCGCCCCTGGCTATGGAGTGGCATCTGGTTCGACGGTGCTCGTGCCGATCATGCACCCGCTCTCCAGCCACAGCTCGCAGCGCAGACGCCCCCCCCCACGTGGAACTACAATAATTCTGCTGCCCCCACAGCATTCAGACCGAAAACATGCCAGGGTCAGTCAGCATCGAACTGGTAAGTAATTCGGATAGAATCGAAATCTGCATCGGATTGGGTTGCAACCGAATCGGATCGGCTGCGCCAAGATGAATAATCATTACGCCATGCAAATCTCGCGCCGCATCGGATAGTCGGAATATCGGAATATATTCGGATGGGGCTGGCCAGAATCGACATCGAATCGGATCGATCGGATCGAAACGGTCGCATGCTGGGCAAATGCCCCAAATACACCCGGCGATCAACCGATCAACCCTCGCACCGAACCGTCAAGCGAGCGGTCATCCCGCCCGGCTGAACTTGTGACATGCGCGCTACTCCCGCTGCTGCAGCCGCAATCTTTCTTTGAACTCCAGCGATGACGTCAGACCTGGTATTAGGGCGGGCATGTCCCCCCTACAGGCGGATTGTGGACGAAAAGTAAGGCATACTCAAAACATGCTCAAACAGAGTTGCCAACAAATACTTTAAACAATCGTCCCCAGACTATTTCCTCACTATTTTCGAATTTTCCTCTTGTAGAGGGACAGGCCCGACTTCATCCTGGTAGCGCGTGCGCGCGGGCCCAACAATTCTCAGCGTCGGCGCCGCTCGCCGAGGCCAGGGCGGGGAGCGCGAGGGCTTTGGGGCTTCTCCGGGGGCCCCAGATCTGGCCGACTCGAGTCTGCCGAAGCTTCGGCTGGCGCGCGTGCGAGTCTGGCACGCGCTTGCCCGCAGTGGGGTCCTGTGCATCCGCCACCGTGCCTTGGCACCTCGAGGCGTTGTGTGGCGTGCCTGGTGCTGTCTGGCAGGGTTCTGGTGCGTCTTCCGTGGCCGCCCCCCCGTCTCCTCACACGTACCTGCGTGCACCCCCCGCACATCCCGCCTCTCCAGGGTTCCCCAAGGCTCCCGAGACGGCCACCAAGGCGGGCCACGATGACCCAACAGATTGTCCTAAGAGGCATCCAGCAGCCCCCCGGAACCCCCCACGAGGCGCCAGATGGTGCCCCACGAGGCGGCCAGGTCAAGACCCTCCGCCAGCGTCCGCCAGCGGAGCCGCCCCCGTGGCACTGCCGCTGGCCCTGCCGCCGGGCAAGACACGTCAGCATCCGGATCCGAAGGCAGGGCCCCTGCGTCGAGCGCCCCCCCACACGCCCGCGCCCACACCCCGGCAGGGTCCAACCCCCTCGAGTCTGAGGAGCAAGGGGGTGAGCAGTGCCACGGCGAGCGCCCGCGCGGGCCTGGATCATCTTCAGCAGGATCCAGCCGCCTCCTCGGGTCGCCTCGACCCCGTTGTGCGTGCCACCCTTCATGACAAGATCCGCTGGCCCGCGTGGAGCAACAACGCACGATACGCTATGAGTTTGTCGCTCGATCGGCTTGTCGGTGCTCCTCTGTGTCTTTGTCGTGGTCGGCGAGAGGGGCAGCATGGGTTACGAAGTCGGGGGGAGGCGATGACCAGGTGACCAATCTACAATGGCGGCCAGACCAGAAGAAACCTTCTACCAGAAACCCAACCCTGAGACCCCAGGGCCTCCATTGATTTCTGGTGTGGGAGCGTCACGCCTTCCCTAGCAAAACCATCGGAACCCAAGAAGCCCAGGGCACCCTGGCGGCAAGCAGGGTGTTTCTTGGCATGGGCCCCCACTGTACTGCACCGTCGCCGAAGCCTTAGGGCGGGCATGTCCCCCTACAGACGGATGTTGGACGAACCATCACGCATTCTCATGAAACTGCTCAAACATAGTTAAACATACTAGAGACATCGTCCCTGGACTATTGTTCAAAACTACTGTTCGAACATGCCTCCTGTAAAGGGTAGGCCCGACTTAAAACCGAAGGCGGACACGAAGGGGCTGGGCGGGCAGAGTCCGGGCCGAGTGCGGGTGGTGCTCGGGAATCCCCTGGCGCCACTTTCAAATTTTACTGGCTCAAATGAAGGGGGGCCTGGGACATACAAATAAATAGACACAAATGACAAGATTCCCCATATTTTCCAATATTCTTGTCTTACCCCCCAACTTCCCATATTTTGCAACATTTTCTGGGGAATCGACGATTAATTGTGTCTGTGTATTTCCCCTCCTCTCAGGGATCTGCTGACCCGGGTCAATCCAGACCCGGGTCGGTCAGGCCTTGCAGGATGCTGCAGGATCCTGAGAGATCCTGCACTTAAGCCAGGGTTAGTGCGAAGGGTCCTGCAAGATGCTGCAGGGTCCTGCACCCGAGCCTGGGTCAATGCGCCCCCGGCCCTGCAGGATCCTGCAAGACCTGGCGCTCTGGCTGACCCCCGTTTGCGCTGACCCCCGCCTCTTGAGCCCCGACCCACCTTTCCCGACGGCGCGCCCGGGGGGGTTGACTGAGAAGGCGCAGGCCTTCTCAGAAGCCGGCGGGGCTCCGGCGAAGACTTGGCAGGCTGCTCGGAAGACTGGGGGGGCCTTCTGGGAAGGGCCCGCCCCCTCTGCTTTCCCTCCGGGGCGCGCCGCCAACGTTCACTTCCCTCACCTCCCTCTCCCCACTTTCCCCCCCCCCACGCCCTCCATCCCCTCCACTTTCCTATCCCCCGTTCCCTCCTTTCTACCTCTCCCTCTCTCTCTCCCTGTCTCCCTCCACTGGCTCGCCCCGCCGTCACCGAAGGCTTCTGTCGGGCGTGTCCCCCTACAGGGGGATTTTCGACGAAAACAAAAAAAGACCACAACAATGCCCCCAAAAGGTCAGAAAATACTAAAAAAATAGTCCCCTGACTATTTTTGGACTATTTTTTGACTATTCTTGTCTATTTCTTATTTTCCGTCGCAAATCCCCCTGTAGGGGGACAGGCCCGACTTAACCGAAGGCGGATCTCCCAAAGCAGTTTCAACTACCGAACACAAAGCAGGGTCAACTGCCGAACCCAAGCCATCAAAGGCCACTCTGGCCAGAGGTACAGCAAACAAGACATACCCTACAAAGCCGCACCTGCGAACGCACAGGCCAAACCACCATCGCTCGGCGACAGAGCAAGGACCACACCGTCACCGCCCGATGACCGCTTCAACTCAGAGCACGCTGCCGAACATCTGGCTCGCCACGGCCCCAGGGAACCGCCGATAGGAGTGCAACTCCACGCTGGACAAGCTCAGCAGGTACCACCCCAAGCGAAACCGCCGCAGGCATAGCCAGCAGGCATCCCACCTCGATTCGGGGAGGGTGGCGGCGGCCAGCAACCCGAGATCCTTAACAGCGACCACAGCAAGGCGCCAGACGGTAGCCCCATCGTCCAACCCACCGAGGCACCAAGCTTCGCGGCTCAAGCAAGCTGTGCAAAGCTCGCTATTCGGACCAGTATACATGCCAACCTTGGCGCAGTTACGGCAGCCCGAGCACGATTCTCGGGTTGCTGGCATGCCAAACAGCCCAGCAGGACCACTGCCCACTGCTGGGTTAATGGCCAAAATGGGGGCTCGCAGCCACCCTCCCGCCTGTCCATGAGACCATGGAAGTGGCCGCTCCCTTCCATGCGCTGCACAGCACGCCCAGCCAATCCAACAATCCACCAGGACCACTGGCACAAGAGGTTGCTGCGGCAGTCTCGCCACTGGCGCGGCACCAGCCGGCCCGACCATCCACCAGGATCGGAGGGCACCGCGTGAGGTCAGCCTCGACCCCGACAACCACCCCGCCCTCCTGAAGAGCATGGGCGTCGGCGACGATTCAGAGGCCGTTGAACAGGCCGCTGTAGAGACGGAGCGGCGGTCGGGCGACGCTGCGCCCGTGCGTGATTCCATGGTCTCGCGCGCGGCGGCCACTGCTGACGACGACGGCGCTGGCGACGACGACCGTTGCGACCCTGGCGACGACGACGCAATTACCTTGGCGGCGGTGGCCGCGCCCAGCGGAGGAACGCCCGCGCGGGCATCTCGACCAACCCATCGCCGCCGCGCAGATGGCGTAGCCGAGAAGAAGAAACCCAGAGGCGCACGGTCTGGAAATGCCCTCGCTGGGAGGGGGAACGCGTCGCCCTGAAAACCAGGATCACGGATCAACAATGAAGGGCCTCCCGCCCCGCGCGAGGCATTGCGGCCTCCTCGAAGAAGACCCGCGCCAGCTGGGCCCCCAGGCCACCTCACAGGCCCCCGCAGCTCCTCCCGCCCGAGGGGCTCCGGAGCCGATCTGCTCGGAATGCGCCGGAGAAGAGGCTTGGGGCCAGGTGGGTCCATGCGGCCACTGGCAGAGCCCGCTCGCAACCAGGCCCGCCCGCTCCTTGCCAGAACTAGCTTCGGAGTCTGCTGCGGGCTTGAGCACTGGCCTGGCCATCTCGCTCGGGTGCGCGGCCCGGCCCAGCCCGCGCAGAGCGCGCTGACGCCCTCGCCTGGCTGCACCCGGACAGCTGCTGCTGAGCGGCCTATCCACGCATACGTTGGCGACCAAGCCTTCAGTCGGGCCTGTCCCCCTACAGGGGGATTTTCGACGACAAATAAAACATAGTCAACAAAATACTCCAGAATGGCCAACAAATGCTAAAAACATAGTCCCCAGACTATTTTTTGACTATTTTTGAATGTTCCCCCTGTAGAGGGACAGGCCCGACTTAAACCAAGCCGTCGCCGACGGATTCGAGGCCCTCCTCGCAGGTCAAGCCACCCCGAGTCACTGGAGCGCACGCCGATCCCTGGCAACAAAATCAAGCGTGCGCTGCAAGCTGAGCCTGGCATGTTCAAGTTCCAGATGGTCGAAAGCCATCTCGGATGAGCACCACGCCGACCGCCGAGGCCTTCAATCGCCACGCAGATGAACTCGCCACTGCCAGAGCCCGTCTGCACACCCTGCAGCAATGTGCCATCGACAGAGCCAAACGGCGACACAAATTCGCGGCGGTTACCCGCAGCACTGTCGTCGCGATCTCTGGCTGTCGCCACCGCGCGTTGTCCTTGCCGGACAGACGCGCGGGTTGCTCTAGTTCTGAACTCAGCAAGATGGAACCAAATCCGCTGACCATAATGCAAGGCAGCGACGAGCCACCTGGCTCGCCCAGCGACCCCTCGCAACCGCAAGGCCCACCAGGACCAGACTTCTTCGACGATCTCGACGACCCATTGGATGGCCAAGCCGACGACTTCGAAGGAGAAGCGAGGACCTACTGGGGCTAGGTGCGGAATTGGGCAACGATGAAGAAACCAGTGCTGCTCCATCAGGGGTCACGACTGCGACGGTTACTACGCCGACGACGAAGGCACATCATGGCGTCAGCAAAGGCACTCTGGAAAGTGCCTCAAAGGGCGGCCGTCCACCAAGACCCCACCTCCGCGGCCACCGCGCACAGCCACCAAATCGTTTCCCCGTCCCACCAGGGTAACGGGACTGTCGACCGCCCTACCACCCAAGTGGGCGCAGGCACTGGTGGAACACCCATGCATCGAACGGATCGCAGGCACGCCCTCGCGCAGTACCTCATGGATGCCAGGCAACAGCCAGACCGGAAGCGCGAAAGTGTTCTCATCGCTAGCATCACGGCGCTGCAACAGCGCGCCACAAACCCTGCGCAGACCCTTCTTTCCATCCAGGAGCAGGCCAACTGCTTGACATATTCCAGCGAACTCAATCCGCCTTGCACGACCTGCAGCAGGCCTTCCGTCCGACCGTTTCTCTCCCGCTTCTCTCGAAGGTACTCCCCAAGGAACCCGGAACCCTCCGGGCCGCACCTTGATGCTCATCGCTAGCACACCAATGCTGTCCTCTCCTCTCTCGGGCGCGTCGCGAGAACAGCCGGCAACTGTTCTGTTGTCTTCGTAGAATGCCGCTGCGGGGGATGCCCCAATGTGGCGCCACGGTTCACTGCGGTGCCGATGCGCGCAGGCCAAAGCGCGCTGGAAGCCGGCGCCTGTTGCTCGGGTTTGCAGACGGGCTGTGTCACGCCCTGGTCGACACAAACACGTTTTCTTTCTTTCAATCAGGGACCCCTTAATGCGCGCCGGTGGGGAGGGTGTTTTTGCCCACCCCTGAACGTTTTGCAGCTCCTCCCACCATTGTGCGGATGGCCCGCGCGGCATGTACAGCCTGCGGGGCCAGGGCAGACTGACTTGTCCGAGTTGTTGCGCTCTCTCTTCGTCTCCCCTCCTCTCCTTTCTCCCCTCAACAATTACTCAATATGAATACTACTCTCCCTCTTCCCCTGATGGCGTGCTGGGAGTAGCCGATTCCCCCCCCCCGCGTACTGTTTTTTTACACACAGGATTCCTGGGAGTTGGGTTTTCGCCTGCGTTTTTGTTCACAGTGCTGCTCTCGCTGAGGCGCCGGCCTCATTTCTGCTCCCGAATCGTTCCGAATCGTGCTCCCGCTGCAGCGTGGGCCTCATTTTCGGATCGGTGTTTTGCCTCCGTCGTTCAGGATGGCGTTCTCGCCCCAGCGCGGGCCTCTTTCTCGCGCGCCCATCCGCCCGCCACCACCGCGCCGCACCACGCCCCGCCCCGCCGCACGCACACCCACCGCCACTTCCACCCACCAACGCACGCACGCACGCACGGGCACCACCACCGCGCACCGCCACCACCACCGCACTACCCCACCCACCACCACCACGCTACACCGCGTCACACCACATCACACGCGCGCACGCACACACACACATACACACGCACACACACACACACGCACACACACACAGACACACACACACACACCACCACCGCCACCACCACCACCACCACCACCATCACGCACGTACGCACCTGGCCCACCACCACACCACCAAGACGCCACACCACGTCACACTACAGCACACGCGCACACACGCACAAACACATACACACCACCACCACAACAACCACAACCACGCACACACGCACGCACGCACGCGCACCACCACTCACTACGCACACGCGCGCGAAGCCACAGGTCCGCTACGACACGCGTCCGCGGATGGAGAAAATCAGCGCCATGGTAAGGGATGGGAGGGAGGGGTAGGATGTCAGATGTTGACGCGAGCGCACCTAACTTGACTCCTCTCCTCTCCCTGACCCCTGTGCCCTCTCCATGAGCTCTCCCTCCCCTCTCTCCCCTAATCCCACCCTGCAGTGGCCTCTCGCCCTCCTCGCCCCCTTGCGTCCCTACCCCCCTTCCTTCCCACTCAGGAAGGGGGAGCGCCTCATTGGGAGAAGGAACGATGGGGAGAGGGAAAGGGAGAGGAGGAGGAGGAGGAGGAGGAGGAGGAGGAGGAGGAGGAGAAGGAGGAGGAGGAGGAGGAGGAGGAGGAGGAGGAGGAGGAGGAGGAGGAGGAGGAGGAGGAGGAGGAGGAGGAGGAGGAGGAGGAGGAGGAGCAGGAGGACCAGAGTAACTTAGAACCAGGATGCGTCAACGATGCTGCAACACACCCTCCAGTCGGGAGTCCCCTCCCGACAACTCCACAAACAAGCAGTCGTCTTCGCTGCGGGGAGTGCCCCCCTGGGCCTGCCGCGCAGGCGAGGGCTTCGTCCTGAAGACGAGCTGCCCTGCATCCTTCTAGTTAACGCGGGTGCAAGCGAGTGCCCCGTTTTGAAAAGGAGCCGCCCTCAAGCCGTGCAGCGGTTGCGCAAGTCTACTGGGCCAGAAACAAACGGCATCACCCCACCCACGGCCCCACGGGCCGTAGCGTATACCAGGACTCCTGGCGCGGGTTTTTGCATGGTATACGCTACGGCCCCCGATGGCCCGTAGCGCAACATGAAGGCCGTAGGTGGGGTGGTGTCGTTTGTTTTTTGGCTGTTCTACAGGTCTTCGGCGAATGCCCCACAACTGTTGGTGTACTTAGCTGCTGTAAAGTTTTGAAAACCAAGGTGCGCGGCGCTACGGCGGGAGCCCCTGGTTGAAAACCAGCAGCCGTCGATTCTTGAAGCTGTTGGGCGCCTTCAGAGTGAACGTGCGCGCCGCTAGGGCGAGAGCCACGTTATGCAAACTATCAGCCCTCCATGCTTGCGGTCGTTGTGCGCGTCGAAAGCGAATATGCGCGTCGCTAGAGCAGTCACAACATCCTGAAACAGGTTCGCCCACCATCCTTGCAGACATGTGCGCGGTACCTAGGCGAGAGTCGCACATTGAATCGATGCGCCTTCCATCGTTTTCACTGTTGGATATTTCAAGCGAAGCGCCCAGCCCGCCCTACCGACGCCCTCAGGTGGGGCGACGAGGACGAGTTTTTTTTCTCTCCCCATAAAGATGAATAATGGAGGAGGATAGGTTGAGGATGGAGGAGGAGGACGAGGGGGGCGGGAGGGAAAAAGGATGGAGGAAGAACGGGGAGAAGGACATGGATGATTGGCCTGGCGAAGGACTCTACTTGTGGGCGTCGTCTTCGGTGGAGCTCCCTATGGACCACGAAGCGCTGTACTGGGTGGGGGGTTGACGCATGCGAACTTTGCGATTGGGGCCTTCGGTGGAACTCCCTATGGGGCCACGAAACACGGTGGGGGAGACGCACGTGGACGGTGCCCCCGGCGCCGTCGGTGGAGCCTCCTATGGGGCCACGACGCGCTGTACTGGGTGGGGGAGATGCATGCGGACGTTGCAATTTGGGCTTTCGATGGAGCTCCGCTGTACTGGGTGAGGGTGGGGGGGGCGCATGCGGAAAGTGCCACTGAGGCCTTCGGTGGAGCTCCCTATAGGGCCTCGGAGCGATGTATTTGGTGGGGGAAACGCATGCGGACGGTGCCACTGGCGCCGCCGGTGGAGCTCCGTATGGGGCCACGAGGCGCTGTAATAGGTGGGGGGGCGCGTGCGGGCGGTAGCACCGGGGCCGTCGGTGGAGCTCCCATGGGGCATGACAGCGTTGTATTGGGCGGGGGACGCATGCGGGCGGTTGCACTGGGGCCTTCGGTGGAGCTCCCTATGGGGCCACGAAGCGCTGTACTGAGTGGGGGGGGCACATGCGGGCGGGTCTTCGGTGGAGCTCCCTATGGGGCCACGAAGCGCTGTACTGGGTGGGAGTGAAACATGCGGGCGGTAGCGCTGGTGCCTTAGGTGGAGCTCCCCATGGGGCCACGAAGCGCTGTACTGGTTGGGGGGGACGCATGCGGGCGGCAGCACTTGGGCCGCCGGTGGAACTCCCTCCCTATGGGGCCAGGAAGCGCTGTACTGGGTGGGGGGGGGAGCATGCAGGCGGTAGCACTGAGACCTTCGGTGGAGCTCCCCCCCGACGCTGTGCTGGGTGGGGGTCGGGGGACGCATGCGGGCGGTAACACTGGGTCCGTCGGTGGAGCTCCCTATGGGGCCACGAAGCGCTGTACTGGGTGGGGGGGGGACGCATGCGGGCGGTAACACTAGGCCCGTCGGTGGGAGCTCCCCCTCTCCTATGGGGCCAGGAGGCGCTGTACTGGTGGGGGCGGGGACGCATGCAGGCGGTAGCACTGAGACCTCGGTAGAGCTCCCTGACGCTGTGTGCTGTGGGGGGGGGGGGGGGGACGCGTGCGGGCGGTTAACACTGGGCCGTCGGTGGAGCTCCCTATGGGGCCACGAAGCGCTGTACTGGGGGGGAAGGGGGAAGCATGCGGGCGGTAACACTAGGGCCGTCGGTGAAGCTCCCTATGGGGCCACGAAAGCGCTCTGTACTGGGTTGGGGAGTAGCAACGCGGGCGGTAGCGCTGGGGCCTTAGGTGGAGCTCCCCGTGGGGCCACGCAGCGCTGTACTGGGTGGGGGGGGGACGCATGCAGGCGGCAGCACTTGGGCCGCCAGTGGAGCTCCCTATGGTGCCACGAAGCGTGTGCGTGGTGTGCCAAAGTGAGGGGTGTGACGGGAAGAGGGAGGGGTGAGGGAGGAGGAGGAGGAGGGGGAAGAGGAGGAGGAGGAGGAGGAGGAGGAGGAGGAGGAGGAGGAGGAGGAGGAGGAGGGAGGAGGAGGAGGAGGAGGAGGAGGAGGGAGGAGGAGGAGGAGGGAGGAGGACAGGGAGGATGAGGAGGAGGAGGGAGGAGGAGGAGGAGGAGGAGGAGGAGGAGGAGGAGGAGGAGGAGGAGGTGAGGAGGAGGAGGAGGAGGAGGAGGAGGAGGAGGAGGAGGAGGAGGAGGAGGAGGAGGAGGGAGGCGGAGGAGAGCGGAGGAGGAGGAGGAGGAGGAGGAGGAGGAGGAGGAGGAGGAGGAGGAGGAGGAGGAGGAGGAGGAGGAGGAACGCGGGGCGCTCTCTCTTGGGCCATGCCGCGTTGGGCCGTGCCACCTGTAGGGCCGTGCCGCGTTGGGCGGATGTCTTGATACCGAGTCGCCATTCGGCATTTTGGCTTGCGCGGCTTGCAGCAAGGCAAATTGCTGGGACACGGATGAAGCACGCCTGTCCTGTGCAGCGGCCACGTCTTTTCTCATGCTGTATGTGTATGAGATGAGCGTCGTGGCAACGTTCGGGTGCTCTCGCGAGAGACCGGACACAGGGTACGGGTGGGGGCATTGGATAAGGAACCCTTGGATCAGGAATCCAGGGTCTGGAGGCCCGTGGGACTCCAATCGAGGCTCGGCCATGAATATCACCGCCGTCCTCATCAGACGAGGAGTCCTCCAGGATCTGCAGCCTCCCGGGCGTGTTCCTTGCCCAACGCCCCCCACCGTCGGGGACGGCCCGAGGACGACAGCCGATATGGGCGGGGCGGTGCCCGGCAGATCGTGCGAGAGACGGAGTCGGGGGGGGGGGGCGACCGCACCAGGCCACGCAACTCCACACATCGAGCGGTCGGCTACGCGCCGTCTGTCCGCCGCAGAGAGGTGGTTGTGAGGGGGAGGGATGCGAGCAGAGCGAGGTCGGGCATGTCCTCCTGCAGGCGCTTTTTCCACGAAAGCTCACAAACAGTCAGAAAACATGCTCAAGAACAGTGGACAAGATCGTCCCCAGACGATTTTGTCCACTATTGCTATGTAGAGGGACAAGCCCGACTCAAGAGCAGAGACGAGGAAGAGTTGCAGTCGGCACAGATGGGGCGTCTTTGTCGTCGAGCTTTTGAACTTCCTGAGATGCCCCAGGGTTTCCCGTGGCCCCCCCAGGGCACTCGGGAGAGGAGAAACTTCTGTAGGGCGCCCGCTGGCCGGCTTGTCTCTTACAACTGCACTCTTGAGGGCGAGGGATGGGGGAGTCAGGAGGAGGAAGGAGGAGGGATGGAGGGAGGAGCATCGCCGTCGTCGTCGTCGCCCTGGCGGCGCCACGCCGCGCCAGCGGCCCGCATAGAAGCGGCGCGCGTGGGGGTCAAAGGCGTACGAGCCTGGCGGCGGAGCGGAAGGGGCGGGGGAGAACGGTCAGGGGCACGACAGAGGAGGGACGCTCTGGCACGCAGGCGCTCCACAGCTGAGAAGCAAGCCGCCACCTCGACAAGAAGTGGAGGCGGAGACGGAGTGGGCGGAGGAGGTGGTGGAGGAGGAGGAGAGGAGGGGTGAATAAAGCCGAGAACGAGAAAGAGAGAGAGAGAGAGAGAGACACAGCGATACACATGCACACATCTATTTGTATGTCTGTCTGTCTGTCTGTCTGTCTGTCTGTCTGTCTGTCTGTCTGTATGTATGTATATATATATGTGCATGCACGCATGCATGCATGCATGCATGTATGCATGCCTGCATGTATGCATGTATGTATACATCTATGCATGCATGTATGTATGTAGGTCGGTAGGTCGGTAGGTAGGTAGGTATGTATGTGTGTCTATATATGTATGTATGCATGTCTGTCTGTCTGTCTGCCTGTCTGTATGTCGGTCTGTTTGTCTGTATGCATGCATGCATGTGTACACACATATATATATATATATATAAGTATGGCTGTTTGTATGTATGCATGTATGTGTAGCTGCCTACACAAATTCTTATATCTCCATGCACACACATACAATGTATATATATACAGAGAGAGAAGGTGATATCTAGAGAGGGAGAGAGAGAGAGAGAGAGAGAGAGAGAAAAAGAGAGAGAGAGAGAGAGAGAGAGGAAGAGAGAGACATAAAGAAGACGTGGTGCAGAAGGAATGGGGGGCACTGTTTGGGAGGGGGGGACTGGTTCAGGGGGGCAACGTCGACCTGGAATCGCCGACACATCGCCGATACGTCGGCGATGGAGGCTCGACGGGTGAAACTCTTGGCGCGTTCTCGGCCTGCCTCGGAGCCTCTGGACTGCTTTTCGTCGCCACGGTTGGGCTCCAATCGACACCCTGGCCGGGTGGCACCCACGGCACACGGCCCAGCGACCGATCCTGGAGGTGGCCACTCCTGGGAGGAGGAGGAGGAGGAGGAGGAGGAGGAGGAGGAGGAGGAGGAGGAGGAGGAGGAGGAGGAGGAGGAGGAGGAGGAGGAGGAGGGCGCGGGAAAACCTTGCTACCCTCACTGGGCCCCTGGGGCCCTCCACGGGGCCCGTTTCCGTCAGGGCCCCTCTTCCTCCAGGCCCTGGGCCCTGGACCCGAAGACAATCCTGGGGTCATGGGAGTTCATGAGCGCCCAAGGCGGGGATGGGCCGGAGATTCTTAGATTCGAGCTAATCAAAGGGCAGTCGTAGCGACCTTCCCAAGATTCCGACGCTGTCTGTTTCACAACGCAGACGCCCGGAGGGGTCTGGACCCTTTCCCGTGGGCCGGCGCTTCCTCCCGAAAAACTGTTTGGCGGTTCTGGAGGCCGAAAACTGCACGAAGCCGTCTGTCGCGATCTCTTGCGCGACGAGGGGAGGTGGGGGTCTGGAGGCCGCCCGAGCGGGGCCCGTCATCTCATCCGCGGGCGGGCTCTGGTCCTTTTGGGAGGCCGCCCGAGCGGGGCAGGAGCTGGCTTCTGACACCGCGTGGGCCGCTCAACCTTGAATGAACCTCTCTTGCCTGCAGCCGGGGCTGATTGTAGAAGACGCCCGAGAGGACACGAGCCTCCTCCGAGGGCAACCCGTGCTACAGGCCTGACGAAGGCATGGCACGCGATAGACATGACACAAGGGTGCCCCTTTTCTGCAGGGCCGACCTGTTAATCAGACCGAACTGCGCTGCAACTCGCTGGCCGCTCAAAGCGTGGCACCTTCAAACTTGACGGTTCACCGCGTGGGGTCTTGAAGGGTCGGCCCACGGCAAATTCACACCGCGACGCCGTCGGTGTGGGTTCCCGACGCCTCGCGGATCGCTCAACCTTGAGCGCTCGCGGCTTTCCAGCAGCGCAGGCCGCTCAATACATATATACATATATATATATATATATGCTATATATATATGCACACACACACTAGAACCACGCGCGCCCTATGCGCGCGCTTAAGTTCTAGTCGCAGGTGACGCACGGGTGCCGCAGTAAGCCCCTGTGTGGTCACGACGATGATTTCCAGCGTTCTCGGGCCCATGCCATCGACGCAAAGAAACGCGTAGTCAGAAGGCTCTCGCTCTGCCGGGGCCGCCCTTGAGGGGTGGGAAGGGGGAAAGCAACTTGTGAAATGGTAGGGTATAACGATGCCCCGCTCGCTCTGGCGGGGCCTGTCTGGCGCTCTGGCGGGGCCGTCCCAGGAGAGGAGGGAGGAACACGAAAGCTGAGGGGTGAGGAAAGGAAGAGGCGAGAGGAGGGAATGGAGGCAAGGGGAAGGGGCGGGAGGGAAAGAGGGACGGAGGGGGGAGGCCCGGGCCATCTAGGCCGTCTTGGGGCCTCCCGCTCCCGCTATGTGGCCCAGCTTGGGCCTGTCCTGGGGTTCTCTTGGGCCGTCTGGGGCTCCTCCTGGACAATTTTCGGGTTCCCTGGGGCCGTCTTGGGGCTCTTTTGGGTGCCTCTTCGGCGGTGTCGGGGCGGTCTCTGGGGCGTCTGAGGCCGTCTTCGAGCATGTGAAGCTCGAGAACGCGAGAAAGCGAAAACCATCGAACAAACCAATGCATATCAATGATGTGGGCCATTTTTGGCTCTCTCAGGGCGCCTCTCGGAGCTCTCTGGAGCCCTCTTGGAGTCCTCTTGGCCTCTTGGACCTCCCGCTGCTGCTCTGTGGCCCAGCTTGGGCCTGTCCTGGGGCTCTCTTGGGCACTCTTGGGCTGCTCTTGGGCAGTCTTCAGGCTCTCCTGGGCCGTCTTGGAGCTCTTTTTGGGGCCTCTTCGGCGGTCTCGGGGCGATCTTGGGGACGTCTTCGGCCGTGTTCGAGCGCTGGAAGCTCGAGAACGCGAGAAAGCGAAACACATTCGAAAAACGAACCGGAAATGAAGGATATGGGCCTCTTCGGGCTCTCTCGGGGCGCCTCTCGGAGCTCTCCTGGGGCCTCTTGGAGGGCTCTTGGGCTGTGTATTGGCCGTGCTGGGCCCATCTGGGGCCATGCTGGGGCCATCAAGGCCGTCTTGGAGCGCCTTGGGGCCTCCCGCTCCTCCTCAGGGGCCCGGCTTGGGCCTGTCCTGGGGCTCTCGTGGGCTGTCAGAGGCCCGTCCGGGGCAATTTTCGGGCTCCCTGGGGCAATATTAGGGCTCTGTTGGGAGCCTTTTCGGCGGTCTTGGCGCGGTCTTGGGGGCGTCGTCGGCTGTCGTGGAGCGTCGGAAAATCGGAAACGCGAGACACTGAAACACATAGAAAAAATGAAATTCAAGGATGTGGGCCTCTTCGGCCTCTCTCGGGGCGCCTCTCGGAGCTCTCCTGGGGCCTCTTGGAGGGCCCTTGGGCCGTGTAGTGTCTAAAAACAATGTAAAATTATTTTGGGGAGACAGTTAAAACAATGGTTTTCCCCAGCGTTGTAGTGCGCCTATAGAAAGCAAAAGGGAGGCTGGGCAAACTGGATCCCTGGAAACGCCCCCGCGACCGCCCTGGCGCCCTGCGTGCAGGGGCAGATTCCTGCGCACCCCTTCTTGGCGTCAGGCCACGCCTGCCACGCCCTGCGACCCCAGCGTGGATAGAGATTGCGCTCAAGGACCACTCCCTGCGCACCGCGCGCCCTGTCTGGGTTGCGAAGCGGCACTGAATACGCAAATGCGGCACGCCGCTGGTAGATTTCATACAACGGGGGCGATGTTTATCTCCAAAGCCCAATGGCGAAAACCCGAGGGACAAATCATTCTCTGATCGGAAGACGGAAACGTCCCAATGTGTATATACGGCGCTGAATGCAAACATGCCACGCGCCAGCGCGCGCGGCGGCGGCATGCCGCTGATAGATTTTATACAACGGGACAAACATTCGCGCGCGCGGCGGCGGCATGTCGCTCATAGATTTTACACCACGGGACGAAATTTGATTTCCAAAACCCAATGGCGAAAACCGAATGTAAAAAATCATTCTCTGATCGAAAGACGGGGACATCCTCATGTGGACATGCGACACTGAATGCACAAATGCCAACGCGCGCGCGGCGGCGGCATGCCGCTGATAGATTTGATTCCCTACCTAGGCTCTGCCTAGAAGGGTTCTTACTCTCTTAGCTTAAACGGGCCGGGCAGTGCAAAGCGCCCCGGGCGGTTCCCCCAGTCCCCGCCCCACGGTTCCCCCCAGTCCCCTGGGAGCTTTAGCTTTAGCTCTAGCTTAGCTTTAGCTTAGCTTTAGCTTAGCTGTAGCTTAGCTTTAGCTTAGCGTTTCGCTTAGCTTTTCGCTTAGCGTTTAGCTTAGCGTTTAGCTTAGCTTTAGCTTAGCTTGATCTTAGCTGTAGCTTAGCTTTAGCTTAGCTTCAGCTTAGCTTTAGCTTAGCTTTAGCTTAGCTGTAGCTTAGCTTTAGCTTAGCTGTAGCTTAGCTTTAGCTTAGCTGTTGCTCAGCTTTAGCTTAGCTTTAGCTTAGCTTTAACTTAACTTTAGCTTAGCTGCGGCTTAGCTTTAGCTTAGCTTTAGCTTAGCTTTAGCTTAGCGTTACTGTTACTACTAATGCTGCTTTCCTAGGGGTTCCAACTCCTAGGTAGGGTCGCACTGGGATAATACAACGGGAGCGAG